CTCTCTCTCTCTCTCTCTCTCTCTCTCTCTCTCTCTCTCTCTCTCTCTCTCTCTCGCTTCTTCCCTCTCCTACACACTGCTGCCCTCCGTCGAAGCAAGGCACTGCTGCTGCCGTCTACACCTTGCCGCTCCACGTATCGCTCTCCCTCTGCTCCTCTACCGTTGACGGCGCTAGCGTGAGTAAAACGGAGCGTGTTGGTACTCTCCGGTATATCTCACCACTCTCCTCCGAAGTTGCGACTGCAACAGCCAATCCGAAGTGCGCGCGGGAAACGATATTATTGCTGTACCACGAGGAATAGCATGGTTGGGGTGGTAATCGGAGCGTGAGCGAGATAGATGAATCGGGTGAAATGGAGACGGCGATAAGCACACACGTTCCGGCACAGAAGATCGCACCGGTTCCAAGAATCCAAGATCAGTTTTCAGTTTTCGCCACAGCGTGTTTCTCGTCCTTGTCCAAGGATACGGCTTTTTTTTTTAGTCTAGGTTCGCGAACATAGATCGCACGATCGCGAATCGCGATTAACACTACTATGATGCGGCGTTTGTTTCACGTTGCGTCTGTCCTTTCGTTCTCTCACGAATATCAAGTTTTGGATCAAAGTGATCAACACGATGCTCGCGAGCGCGAATGACACCCCGAAAGATGTGCGTTCGTCTCGCGTCGCGTCTGGTTTTTCGTTCTTACGATACGAGCTGATCACTAAACTTTAAACTCTCACAAAGGCTCACCGGATACTTTGTACTACCGTGTCATCCGAATACTACTGTCGAGCGCGACGACTACAATAGAACTGACTGCCAACTCCGTTGCCGTCGCGGTGGTAGACTTCGACTGGTCAGTCAGACTGCCCCACCACCTGCGCGGTACCCGTCAGGATGTATTATTTTGTGCGCATCTCCCCCCTCCATATCTTCTGTAGTAACGCCAGCGACGATGGTTCATCCCTCCTCGCCTACCCTATCATCTTCGACGAATTGTCTGCGATACTCCCTTCCAGCTTCCTGTGCCCTTCATTGCGCGTCTCTTTCCTACTTCTCCGTCATTTGACCCGATTCGACAACGATGTCACGCGTAACGAGAGGTAGGATGTTCGGTATGCGACGAATGGGGATATCGTGAATTACTACCCCTACCCCATAGACCTAGAAAGTGGGGTCTGGGTTATACCATATCGTGGTGATAGACACGAAAAATTCCAAGAACAGTGGAAATGTTGAAAAGAATTCTTGGAAAAGAAATTTTTGAAAAAATTTTTTCCGACTCGACTCTTACATTGTATCCCTTTTTGTCATCAACAATATTTATTAATCGTTTAAGCAGAAAATAATTCAAGCCTCTGACACCGGATGTATCCCTGATTACATTTACAATAATATTTAGATAGGTGAATTAACCGAATGTCAAATCTAAATAATATTTTCAAGTCTGAAGCGGTTTCGCGAATCACATACAATGTTCAAAGAAAGAACAAGAAATGCATATCCACTACAAAAAAACTGAACTGCTCTCGTGCTTTTATATAATAAGAAAATTCCGCAATATTTATAACATTTGCTGAGGTTTCCCGGCATTCCCTTTTGTGCGAAATATGAAAGAGAGAGAGAGAGAGAAAGAGAGAGGGTCAGAGGATGTCAGATGCAACAAAACCTTAAATCCTTCCCGCCACCTCCGCCTGCAATCCCCAAGAAAGAATCGGATTTACGAGCGCGCGGCAAAAAAATCCGGATACCTACTACGGCATCAAGCATTCGATGCGGAGACCGGAGTTACAACGAGCGCGGCAAGGCACGAGAAGAGGCGTGGCGAAGCGAGACGAGGTAAAGCGAGACGAGGCGGGGCGAAGCGATGCGAAGCGTGACGAGGCGGGGCGAAACGAGACGAAGAGTGGCGAGGCGTGGCAAGGCAAGGCATGGCAAGGCGGGGAGAGGAGAGGCGCGGTAAGGAGACTCGCTCTCGCGATAATTCGCGGGTAAATTTACCGCGAGTAACCGTCGCGCTCGCACGAACGCGAATAAGCGACAAGTGTGTACCTGTACGCGCCCCGATATCCCGCGGCCTCGTCGGCGATACACGCGCGAGGACCGACCGCATTTCGTCACGTATACCGGCTCGTTTTTCACCGCGCGACCGAAGCGCAGAGAAAGACAGCAAGAGTGAAAAAAAGAGAAAGAGAGAGAAAGAGAGAGGCGTCCTACTCTCGATAATTATCGCTGTCCCCGTGCACGTTTAGGATTTCAGAGCTCCAACTTTGTTAAAATCTCGGATGAAAGCGTATCGCGACGATGACAAGCATGAGCACGGCTGCGTACGTCTTTTTCAGCTATGCTTGAGATTTATTGTTTCTGTTAATATTATAACGATATTTTATTATGTTTAAGAATAAATTCTTTATTTTAAAATAGTATGTTAATATTTTAAATATTCTTGATAAAAATAAAACATAAATAAGACAAATTTTTGTCTCTCACTAAGAATAGCTTTGTGTTAATGTGCCTCCAATTTGCCTATCCACATTTGATTCATTTAACATATAGTTCTTAAAATAGATAATAAATGTTAGCTAATTGTTTAATACTGCACAAATCATTACTTTAATTGTACTCATCATTTCAATGTACATACATAACACAATGTTCTTATACATATATGGAAAAAATTAAAATCTTGCAGTATTATCGGACTCATATAAATTTCATATATTTTCGAAAAAATATTTGCTATATTTTAATAGTTAAAAAATTAAACATACTTTGTGTCATATACATTAATAATTTAACTTAACAAGTATTTTTCTTGTTTACTTTTGCTTATGACTTCTTTCAAAAGTACATTAATAAGAACAGACACAATAACCGATAGTTACCCTACGTATATAAATATGTAACATAAAAATTTGGAGTCTGTATGCTAGTGACAGAAAAACAACAGCGAAAATTCTCACGAGCTTATCCGAGATAAATGAATGAGGTCAGGAATTATCGCAAATAATCATAGATTCAATCGATTTGGAGTTCATTAAAGCTAACAGAATTGTAATGCCAGGCGAGATTATAATTAATTAAATCACGTTAAAACATCAGTTGGATACTATTGAAACACGGATGGATAACTTTCAAACCAAATTGCAGATGTACACGAGATCGATGATTTCTCCCGTGAAATAGCAATGTAATAAGACATTCGAGAAACAATAAGATGTTCCGAGAAAAAGATAGACGGAATTAATATGCTTGATAAACTCATGATGACATTTATGTGAATAACGTCTTGATAGGTTGTAACAGTGACTTGGCTCGGCTCGTGGTATCATCGAAATTAATTCGGTGTATAAAGAAAATAACTTTCTCTTTTTAACGATGGCCGCGACGCCGCTCGTATCTCACAGTCCGCGTATATCGCGGAGAGCAGCTGACCCCAGTCCCGAACGTGAAATACGCGCGGCGGTTATGGCGTTGCAAAGTGACAATGCAATAATAATCTTTTTTGTTCGTACACGCACGAACACGTCACGCATATGCTACTCATCGATCTTTTTTTACAGCGCTACCGCGCGTTCGGAGAGCCGCCTATTGCTCGTGCATAACCGAAATGAAAGCGCATGAACTTTTCTAGTTTCCACAATGTTTCCACATTGTTTACTTTATAAACATTAACACGCAGAAATATCTTATTTCAGTGTGGTTTGGGGATCTTATGAAGTTAAAAGAAAAAAATATAAGAAATAAAAAATAACGTATCTGCTTATTTAATATGATAAATATTATATACAAAGTACATAAATTTAATTGAACTTTGCAGCATATTGGAATGTTGCAAAGACAGATGCACTATTACTAATATCAACCATTGCAAAAATATAAAGGGTGCTCATATTACCTGCAAAGCTCATATAATATTCAATTCTATATAATTCTCATTTAAAGAGATATATTTATTAGATAAAAAATCAGTCAAACATGAATATTCTAAGTATATATTATACGAGTAATGTTAGTGTCATAATTATTTGATTAATAAATATGTTTTCATAAATTTACTGTTACATATTAGGTGTACTTTGCTTCCGCCGTTTTTTGTCCGAAATTCGAGGCTTTATTGTAAAAAAAACTGGTTATACATTTATGATTCAAAGTATTGTCTATCGCTGGCCACTACTTTCTCCCATCTTTTGGGTAGCGTACGAATCCCACGTCGAAAAAACTGGTCATCTTTTGAGGCTATCCACGAATCGATCCAATTTTTTACTTCTTCATAAGACCGGAAGTGCTGGTCAGCCAGGCCGTGTGCCATTGATCGAAACAAGTGATAGTCAGAGGGAGCAACGTCTGGAGAATATGGCGGGTGGGGTAGGACATCCCATTTCAACGTTTCCAAGTATGTCTTGACCACTTTCGCAACATGGGACCGAGCATTGTCATGCTACAAAATCACTTTATCGCGTTTCTCGTTGTATTGCGGCCGTTTGTCTTTCAATGCTCGGCTCAAATGCATCAATTCGATACCGATCGCCTGTGATTATTCAATCGGTTTTAAGAGTTCACAATACACAACGCCGAGCTGGTCCCACCAAATACAGAGCATGACCTTGGAGCCGTGAATATTCGGTTTGGCCGTCGACGTGGAAGCATGGCCGGGAACTCCCCATGATTTTCTGCGCTTGGGATTATCGTAATGAACCCATTTTTCGTC